ATATGTTAGATGGAGTATGACTGGAAATTAAATTACAAAAAATATAATTTCATTTTTATATTGTAATGTAACATGATCTGTACTATAATGTTTGTATTTATTACATTTATTTATTAATATTTTTTATAACTTTAATTGCTTATTCAATTCATAATGGAATAAAAAATAATAATATATAGTTTCTGCACAACAATAATGATTGTCACGTTTATATATATAAATGAGAATAAGAAACATAAATGTGGGATTAACTAAAAAAACCTTTTTAATTTAGCTATTAACTAATTAGGTTTAACTAAAAAACCTTCTTAAATGTGGGATTAATGAGTAATTAATTAAAAAAATATAACTCCTTTTGGAGGGAAAGTGAAAATATTTTTATTAAATGTTTTATTAAATAGGATTAGCTTGTAATTATATATATATATAGATTAGACTGGTGGAATTTCTTCATTACATAACCCATTGATTATCTTTAAATTCCTTGTAGGCAGATATGGTCAGGTATAGAGACAAATTTGCTGATTGGTTTTCCTTTGTGTTTCCTATTTCATTTATATATTTACGTCCCCCTGTAATACGCATTAGTGAACAAATTCTGTTACTGTGCACGATCGACCAAGAGGTTTTAACCTTCACATTCTTAATTCTCTTTGCTGCGTTGGTGGTATAATCAGAAAATAAATTGAGTTGGCTGAGTGACTGGTGAAATGTTTCTAATGCAATAGTTTTTGAAAAACTTGATTAAATTGTTTTCATTTTATACTAACCACATCGTGTTCTTATAAATGATCAGGTCTTCTTCATGGACTCACTCAAATTTTTCCTCTCCTTGTACGGTCATAAGCTGCCCGCTCTGTGCATGGACATATCCTCTGACGGGGATTTGATTGTTACTGGCTCTGCCGATAAGAATTTGAAAATTTGGGGTCTGGATTTTGGTGACTGCCATAAGTCTCTTTTCGCCCATGCTGATAGGTATTTCATTTCATCACTGGCTAAACTGTTCCACTACTCGAGCTCATTCGTCTTTCCACTCTCCTTAAATTGTAAGTAACAGTGAATGAGTTTTTTAATTTGGAAAGCTGTTGGATTTCAGTGTCATGGCAGTTAAGTTTGTGAAGAACACCCACTACATGTTTAGTGCGGGCAGAGATCGCCTCGTGAAGTACTGGGATGCAGACAAGTTTGAATTACTTTTAACTCTCGATGGCCATCACTCGGAAGTTTGGTGCCTAGCTGTCAGCAATCGTGGTGATTTTATCATGACGGGATCTCGTGATAGATCTATACGCCGTTGGGACCGTACACAAGAGGATTTTACTATTGAGGTATTGCTTTAATTTAATTTCTTCCGAAGCTGTGTGGTATTTAATATATTTTTTAATATATGATGATGCTTTTCAGACAGTGTTCCCATAATAAGGTGACAATTTGTGTTGTGCTTTACAGGAAGAGAAGGAAAAAAGGCTGGAGGAGATGTTAGAATCTGACATTGACAATGCATTCGAGACTAAGTACGCACCGAAGGAGGAAGTTCCTGAAGAAGGGACGGTGGCATTAGCGGGAAAGAAAACTGGGGAAACTGTAAATGCTGCCGACTCTATAATGGAAGCACTAGACATAGCCGAAGAAGAAATGAAGCGCATTGCTGAACATGAGGTAAAAAAAAGAAAAAAAGAAAAAAAGTTTCGATGTAGGCAAAAGTGAGACATGTGTTATCCACACTTGAGATCTCATGGATGTAGAATTCATATTGAACTGTTTTTTTCTGGATTTTTATTTTTTTATTTTTTCAGGAGGAGGAGTCGAAAGGGAAAGATGCTGATTTTAGGCCAAATGTACTTTTGAATAATCGTTCACCATCAGACCATGTGCTTCTGGCAGTTTCAAAAGTTCAGACTAATGATTTGGAACAGGCATTGCTAGTAAGTTTGGTGATATATTTTTATTTGTGAAATCTTGTACGTTTATTTGTTTTGTCCATTGCAAATGGAGCGGAAGAGTCATTGTTGACAATTCTCCTGGCATAGTGCTAATAATGGACAAGATCAAAATGACTCGGTTAAATTGTAGTGCTTCTTCTATTAGTGAAGTTTCTAGAAAAAAATATATCAAACGACACAATGCACCTTGGGTCGCTACGGAAACAACCTCCTTGTATAATTACAAGGGTAAGGTCTGCGTACAATTGACCCCCCAGACCCCAACCAATTGGGAATATACTGGGTATGTTGTTGTTGTTGTTGTAAGTTTATTTGTTACGGACCGGTTTATCCCTCTTAATCGGGGTTTGCGTGGGAATATATATTCCCACCTGTTGCAAAAAATGTGGTTATAAGAACACGAGTCTCGGCTAGTGAGGTAGAAGTAAAAATATTCAAATTCACCTAATGTACCTATGCAGTTGCGATCTCACTATCACGTATGACATTGGCTTCTTTCTTGGGTATTTTGTTACTCAGTCGAATTTCATCAATCTAGTTTTGGAGATAGAGTTTGATTTACTCTTATATTTGCATTTCTGCAGGCTCTACCATTCTCGGATTCCCTAAGGGTTTTGTCTTATTTGAAAGATTGGATTGCATTCCCTGATAAGGTTAGTTCATCTAAGAAATCCAGAGTTATCATTATGCGAGTTGGTGTATTTTATCATGTTTTGTCACATAAGTAGATCTCCCTATCCTAAATTCATGTCCTTTCTATGTCAAATTTTATTACTATCAAGTCCATCGAATTTATGACATCAGAATTCTTGCAAATTCTCTTTGGGCTTGATTGTTTTATCGTATTATATTGTTGCTGTTGCTATTTTGCTAGGTTGAGCTTGTGTGTCGGGTTGCGACTGTTTTGTTACAGATCCATCATAACCAGCTAACCTCTACGGTGTCCGCCAGACCTCTCTTATCTCTTCTCAAAGACATCTTGCATGCAAGGGTTAAGGTAGTTTTGTAGTTTTAAAATTTCTAAGTAGGTCATACCTGTTTTGCCCGATTGTAATGATGATCTCTGTCGTGACAGGAATGTAAAGATACCTTAGGCTTCAACTTAGCAGCAATGGACCATCTAAAGGTAAACAATTAATTTCATCTGCACCACAACCTAATATTTGTATATTTGATTTTCCCCCTAGCTTAACTAAGTCCACTGTCTTCATATCTTCCCAGCAATTGATGGCTGCAAAAACCGATGCACCATTTAGAGACGCAAAAGCTAAATTACTTGAAATACGTTTGCGGCACTCCCAACAAAACGACCGTCGGGTTAACCCGCGAGAAGAAAGGAGGAAAAAGAAGAAGCAAAAGAAGCTCGATGGCGATCATGTTTGGTCTTGATTGACTTGCACGCGCGTAAGTTTTTCTTATTCTCTCTCCATCATCAGCATGGTTCAAAGTGTCGGCACATTGGAAATCGAGTCTGGCGCATATATATTATCAAAGTTTTGTTAATTGAGTGAAGAAGTGGTGCTGGGATTTAACCGGCTAAGAATGTTGTGAATAGATTTTTTTTTTTTTTTTTTTTTTTTTTTTGTAGCAGCACGATAATAGCAAAGATATTTTTGTGTGACTTTACTGTATTGCGCGTGAATCGTGATAACTGATTTTCTTTGAACAGCAATTAAAGCGCAACATGATAGCCTTTTGAACACAATATAAAGGTTCTTGCTACCTAATATTCTCTACGAAATTAAAATTCAGTCGAAATAGAATGGTCTCACTGGAAGTTTGTGCCTTCATAGGTCTTACCAAACTGCCAGTCGTTGGGTACAATATTATTTAGGGTTAGCTTTCTTCCATCGCTGGTCGTGATCCTGAAACTAAGGGCCTGGCCCACAAGTTTTGTGTTGGTCTCCCATTTCTGACCCCAGTTGCGGCTTAATACGGCCCACTGTTGGGCCTGACTGCTCACTTCCAGCTTGGCCACGTCGCCTGAGCCCCCCACATTTGTGACCGTGACCAGGTTGAAATAGGGGTTTCCGTTTATGGTGAAACGAATGCCTCCTTGTTTTTTGCACGGAACCCTTGCAAAAAACGAGGATCTTGATTAGAATTTGAAGGTTTGCATAAGTGCACACACACACACCAACAGCTTTGGACTTGATATGTATGCAGATATTTGTATATCATGTACTTGCTGTGCAAAGATCTCACATAAACTTCATATTTCACACTTGAGTACATCATTCAGTAGATATTCTTCATATTAAAACCTAGAGTTGTACTTTTAGAAAAAAATAAAAAAAGGATTTATAGTGTTTAAACTTTAAACTTTGAATTTACACACACTGCAAAAATTTGAAAAATTTTGTTTGGAAAGTGTCGTCAAACATATGAAACTGCATAATAGAAGAGCACCATTTTCCTATGCAAATCTTTTTTTTTTTTTTCGAAACGATAGATTAAATTAATAAAAACACTATTACAAACCTAGATAAACGATAGATTAGATTAATAAAAACACTAATTACAAACCTAGATACAAGTAGGAATAACCAAAAAGTCATCCAGTTGAATTTAAGGGAGACATACACAATGGTAGCCTAGAGATCTACACTAACCCACTCACATACAAACAAACTAAACAGTCCCATACGGGAGAATCGAAACAGTCCTGTACGCGGGAATCAAACAGTCCCATACGGGAGAATCGAAACAGTCCCGTACGAGAGAATCGATACAGTCCTATACGGGAGAATCGAGCTACTACTCAGAAGACCCTGCTATTCTTGAACCCCGCCTTTTTGAACTTTAACTTCTTTCGAGCTCAATCACATCGACCCAACGAATGAAGCGAAGCGAAATGAAGTCATAGAAAGTTAAAACAAAAGGCCAACAAGACAACCTAAAACACTACACAACACAAACACTAACAATACTACAATACTAGAAAACACTAACAATACTACAATACTAGAATTAGTGAAACATATGTTATATTTTACCTGTCTTGTCTAGAGTAACTT